TACTTCTCCAGTTCAACCGATGAAGGGACTAGATAGACTGGGACTGGAATACCAGCCTGAAAAACATGTAAAATTCTCCAATATATATATATATAAGCAAATCATACAAATACATGAAGTTCGCCCATCTTTTCACCAAATTAACGCTGCATCAACTAAGAGTAACATTCGACCTCGCTCGAATTTAACTCGCGTTCGACCTCGTTCGAACTAACTAAGAGTAACATTCGACCTCGCTCGAATTCCACTCACAATCGACCTCGCTCGAATTTAACTCACATTTGACCTCGCTCGAATTAACTCGCGTTCGACCTCGTTAGAACTAACTAAGAGTAACATTCAACCTCGCTCGACTTTAACTCACATTCGACCTCGCTCGAATTAACTCGCGTTCGACCTTGTTTGAACTAACTAAGAGTAACATTCAACCTCGCTCGAATTTAACTCATGCTCGACTTCGGTCGAATTAATGAAGATCACATTCGATCTACCAACACGGCCACGACTAAATCCAAAGTTCCTCTGATCAACGCAACCAAAAGAGGAAAATATCCAAGAGGAAACAGAGAAGATTCAGAAACAAGAAGCAAAAGTAGCACTCCAATTCAAAAATATATCTTTACAAGGGCTGAATAGACGCCCACAAAAGTAAACATAAATTATAAAAAAGCATAACTACTCAGCAGCACCGTCCCCAGTACCGTCCTCCTCATCAGAGTATTCGTCCTCATACCAGGCACCTTGCTCAATCCCGTCCAAGTCCTCATCACCATCACCACCCCCCGGCGTAGCAGGATCATAACCACAAGCGATCCAAGCTGTGCGTGCCTTAGCCGAGCATCCTTAAAATCAACCTCAGAAACTCTCCCCGCCGTCATCAAATCCCTGAATATGTCTAGCTGGGCCTTGGCGTGGATCCATTTCTCGTACAAATCCCACGGAACATCGGGATAAGTGGAAATGTGAGAAGAGGACGACTGATCCAGCAGTCGCGCCTTTTCAGCCTCAAGAGTGGCAATCTGATCATTAAGGTTTGAAACCTCTTTCTCAAGCCCCCCAATTCGCTCATCAAGCCGTGCTTCCCTAAGCGCGGCCGTCTTCGCATCATTCGCCCGCTTAGACAGGAGGACGCGGATGACATCTTCTAACGCCGCCACCTTCGTCAAAGCTGCCACCTTGGTCTCCTCGGCCTTCTCCAACTCTGCCGCTTTCTCGATCACCTCATTACTCAAATTGTCAGCTTTGATCGAACTCTGCTCAAGCTCGGCCCGATGAGATGCCACTTGGGCTTGAAGGTCTTCACACTCATCCTCGAGCTCGTCCTCTTTAACTCTAAGTGCTCCCTCGATCTCGCTGCATTTACCGATGACTCTCATAAGTTCATCTTCTTTTTACTTCAACTCATCCCGAAGGGCCTGGAAATTGCTGTCCACACCGAATTGCTTGAAGATCTCATGGTGCTTAACGCGATACTCATGGTACTTCCTCTCCATTTTTTGGAGAAGAGCTTTCCGCTTCTCTTCTCGTTGAGCACTCTCAATCTCCAAAATGATGGTCTAATAAAAAAGAGAAAGCACAAGAGGAGGTCAGTCTAAAAAGAAAGAAGATCTTCTAAGGCACGGGAACTAGGGAGATTGGAAACTTACCCTCAAGGTGAATCTGACTATGCTTGAAGACAGGGCGGCATCGTTAAACGTCTATAAGGTCCTGCCCTCAGCGTTAGATCAGAGAGGACCCAAAGAGGGAACCACATTCTCTGTATCCACCAGTAAGTCGCGGTCTAGGGGGACGGCTATGGTGTCAGTAAATCCTTCTAACTTTACCTCTACCCCAGTAAACCCGTCATTAAACATCCGCACATCCTCAGGGTCGATGTCTGAACCGGTCTCATAGCCATCCATGTCAACACTCTTCTCTCTCTCCTCGGGTGACGAAGGAATGCCGGCCGGTCCTGAGGGTGATGGATCGATCCTCGACACGGCATCCACAGCCTCAGGTAGCCCCCCTTCAGCAATGACCCCAGGTGAAAGAGCACCTCCCACGACCTCCGTAGGCAGCTGGGCCGCAGTAGGAAAGTCCATCTCACTCTCCGATGCAACCACGACCGGCTCAAAATCGCCCCTTGTCGATCCTCGACTCTAGCTATCTCGTTGCCAACTTCCACCCTCCTCCTTTTAAGTGGACCCGGTTCCTCTTCACTGGGCGACGACTCATCTACCAAGTGTAACACAGGAGGAGCCGGAATCCTGCCATTGGGGCCGCCGACCTACGACCAGGTCTACGCAGTGCCCGGGTCTTGTTAGAAGTGTCCATCTGAACAGATTTACCCGCATTCGCAGCAAGCGAAGATCCCGTTGTAACAATCGATTGACGGAAGGCGGGGTAGGAGCCCTTACCCTTCTTGAAGCTCTACGGCCTAACAATAAAAGTAGAATTTAGGCCAACTCCACTGTAAAAGAAAAGAGAAGGAGAAGAAGACAATGTGAAGGTCGAGTTATTGAGTTCAGAATAAACGACTCACCAGTCGCAGAAGGCTTGTGCCCAAACTTCTTGTGGAACGCTGACCATTCATGAATCCCACCGTATGGGGAAAGACCTGACTTACCCAGTCACGGATGTCTGCAACCAACGAAGGGGGCTCTTTCTCGGTTACACAATGAAAAAAAGGAATGATTATGTTAAACTAGAAATAAACAAAACAAACAATCAGCAGAAGTACTTACGGGCAAAGTTCCATGCTTCAGGGAACTTATTGGGGTTTGCCACCACGTGCTCGGTTTTGATATAGAAAAAGTTGTACCAAAATCGACGATTGGCCTTACCGTCCATCTTCACCACCAATCCCTTGCTCCCACGATAGCGAAGGTGTAACATCGTACCCCTATAGAAACTTGGCGCGAAGAGGTGCAGTAGATAGCGAATAGAGATCCCGCGGTTGGCCAGTTCCGCGTACTTTACCAACATAAGGAAAAGTTTATAAATGTAAGGGGAGAGCTAGGACGGACAGATGCCATAATGGCGGCAGAATTCCTCTGCCAACGGAGGAAGAGGAAAAGAATAGCCCACGTAGAACGGATATGCGTAGAACGCGCAATATCCGAGGCGATGAACCTGTACCGCATCACGACTAGCTGGGATTAGGTCGATATGGGCCGGGATGTTGAACTTGGCCCTAAGCTCGGCGAGGGCGGCTGCGTCTATTTTAGATTCCACAGGTTCAGACTCATTTGCAGGCAGTTTGGAGAAGTCCGACCTGGCTTTGTCATTACGAGGAATTATTTCCTCTAGATTGGGAAAGCTTTCGTCTTCAGCAACAATGGTAGCCCCAACATCATGAGGAGGCATTCTCATTGCCAGTAGGGTTGGGTTAGAAGCATCACCAGAGCTAAAAGATGCGTTGACCATTTTTAGTTGCTTGTCAGTACAGAAAGTACAAACTCAAGAGAGGTAGGAGTAGAAAAAATCGCACAAGTTAAGAAGGAGAACAAGGGTGCGAAATGAATGCAACGGGAGCAATAATACAGGAAGAATAGAGGAAAATATGAAGGTTCAAGTGCCAGAAAACACAAAGAACCATATCAAGGGTTTCCAATACCTATTTATAGAGAGCACAGACACCCTAATAACCAATCGTCGATACACAAAAATCGAAACGACGGAGGCGTGGGAAGCCATGCAACGCATCGGGAAGATGCGTAATAATGACGCATAATGCTGTGACGTTAGTCTAAACCAACGTCACGATGAGTTGTGGCCTGCAAAAAACCACGTTACCATCTTGACAGTGATCTTTACTCGACCTGCCCACCTGAATTTCTCGACTAGCGAAGTCCGCTCACCGAGGTCGATTAAAAGACAACCTTGATAAGCGGATGGACTAACTGTATAGGTCGAAATCCGACTGAGGAAATTCAACACGAAAAGACGATTATCATGAGTTACTTGTGATTATTATGGGCAATTTGGCCGAGGTCGACCAGTGATTAACGGAACGTGTCGCCAAGCAATCAGTCACGGCCGAGGTCGAGTATTATGAGCAGTAGTAAGGACTAGTTTTATATTAGGACCCTCAGAGGGAATATTACAGAGAATATTCTATGTATTTGTACTTTTAGGGCTCTTTGGGGGATGTCCCGTATAAAGGGAATGAGGCAAAAGGCATATAATATTCTAAATGATAAGAACTCTTTTGAAAAGCAAGCTCTCTAGATAAATACAAAGAATACATTTCTAAAGAGATTCGGTCTTTTTGGGTTATTCATTGTCATTTCCACCAGACCCGAGAGAGTCTTTAATATTCTCATAGTTTCTTGTCACTCATCATTATCAGAGGAAGGAATCATCCACCTCATTCAATAGTGGGCGAATCTTACTCTTTATTTACTTTTGATGCTATTAATTGCCCTTTAATATTCGATACTACTAACACCTTATTGTATCAGAAGCATTTAATATCTAGTGCATCAATCTACCTCATCCCTGTTTACATCCCCTACATTGCCCATTTTAGATGAAGTTATTATATTTAATTAGGATTAAACCCCCAAATAATTGATTAATTGGTTTAGCCATAAATTATCGTGTTTTGGTCAAACAGGTTTACTGTAGTACCTTTCCTTTTTAGATAACACTATTAAAAGTGAAAATAGGGGCTAGTGAGTTTTCAGACTGGTAATTGAAAAATAGCCAGCGTTTGAAAAGTCAATAAAAATAGTTACTATTTTGCTGAAACACGGAAAGTTTTAGCATAATATGCTGGATTATGGAGTTCTTGCGCATAAACTTCGAGCATATTATGTTGGAACTCCAACAAACAGAAAGTTCCAACATAATATGCTGGATTATTGAACTCATATGTATAAACTTCCATCATATTATGCATGATTTCCGAATTTTTAAGGGTGTTTTTATTTAAATTTTATTTTTACATAAAAAGTGGCTAATTTAAATATTTTTGAAATTGTGGTTATTTTTCAATTAGGAGTCGTAAAAGAGAAAAGAAAAAGAAAAAAGAAAAACTCTACAAGAAACACAGCATACGAATAATGCGAACAGAAGTATAAGCTTGTTCTCTCACACATTCACCTTAGCAGAAGAAGAAGGAAGAGGAGGAGGTGTTTGTTCTTTGGATCACCAATCATGGTATGCCAGATCTTCACTCTTCTCCTTGCTTATTATCAACAAAAACCAAAACCCCACCTCTTTTCTCATTTTTTATTTTCTTATGTTTCTTGAGCTTGATCTGGTGAATAGTTGTTACATTTGATGCTTGGTTAAGATATATTTGTCAAAATTTCACATGGAAACTGGGGAATTTGGTGATTTGTTCGACACGGTTTCGATTTTCAATCTGATTCCGGATCTTGGTGTGGATGTCTTAATGTGTTGGATTTTATTTGAATATTTCGTAGGTTTTTTTTTCTAGCTCTAGCTTACTTGGGTTCCGTGGATCATATCCAATTTCACTAAATGCGCAAAAAAAAAGGGGGTGGGGGGGTGGGGGGTTTCAAACATTTGGTGCATAATTCCAATTAGAATGGTTAATGGTAGATGAAAAATCAGATTTTTATGAAGTGTAAGAGAAATTTGGATTACGTGAGGGAATTCTTGAACTCTGATATGAATTACTCACTTTACTGGGTTCAAAATCTATTATGGTAGTGAAATTTTGAAGGCAAATATAGGGTCTGAGCCAAAGCTATTGGGTTTAGATGAACTCATTACCTCTATTCTAAGTCCACCCCTGCTTTGATAGATTAAGCGTAATTGGATAGAGAAAGTGATGAGCTTATGGGTTTTACATTTAGCCTGAGAGATGGAGTATTGAGGCTTCAATGTGTGGAGGTGGGGTTGGGGAATAATGGTTTGTTCTTTATTAATTCTTATTACAGAAAGCTTCTGAATAAGGAGTAGTTGGATTTTCTGTATAGTTCGATTTGGATTCCTAAGGCACCAAGAAAGGTTTGCTTCTTTACTTGGTTAGCAGCAAGAGAAGCAATTTTGACGGCGGAGAACCTGATGAAGAGGAAGATTACGTATGTCGGTGTTTCATGTGTAAGGGTTCGGCGGAAGATGTTGATCACCTCCTAATTCATTGTTCTATTGCGTCGAGGTTGCGGTGGGAGATACTAAATTGGTTTGGTATATCTTGGGTGATGGCAGACATGGTGAAGGAGGTGTGATCAACTGGAACTATTGTAGAAAAAGGAGAAGCAGGGCGTGGAAGCTTGTACCACTAGCTCTTTTATGGGTAGTTTGGAGGGAAAGAAATAGGAGATTCTTTGCGGGTGTAGAGATATCTTTTGTTCAGTTGAGGAGCAGTCTTTTATCCCTTATTTCTTTTTGGTGCACTCATAAGGTTCCTGTATGTATAGATGATTGGGTGTTGTTCGTAGAAAACCATCTCTTTTTGTATGTTTTCTACTTTTTGGTATACCTCTTGTATACGAGCAAGTTTTATTTGCCCAAACGTTAATAAAATATATTACTTTAAAAAAACTTGGAGTGTTGAGGCTTCGAGAATGAAAAAATCTGATGTTAATACGTGCTGTTCGTATTTCTGTCTGGGGAATCACTTGATGTTTGAATTTAAAAATTTGGGATAAAGGAGAGAGACATAGTGCTTAGGTGATGAGGGTCTTTGGGATTTTGTAGTTAACCCGCTGCTAAAAGACAAAAAACAGCACAATTTTTGAGAAGATAATGAGGAAGAATAGTAGCAGAGGGATCAAGAATCAAGATTCATTCTTGTAATAGCTGATGAACTCCTGACTTTTTCAACATTTTGATTGGCTATGCATCCAACATAATTCTATAATAAATAAATTCTGGAACTGAAAAATCAACATCTAAAATCAATATGTATACAACTTCTTGATTGACTGCGTACCTTAACATCATTCTATGGAGCCTATAATAGCCAACATCCATCTGAATCCATAGTCCAGCCATGAGAAAGCAACTACGAAGATAAATTGGACATTCAAAAAGTAAAGAGCATAAGTTAAAACCCAAAGGATATCTCACTCTTTTAACTATAGCACGTACTGGTTGAGACCATGTCGCGGGCAAAAGCTTGGTATTTAAGTGGAGAATGGTAAAGGGGTGGACCCATTATTATCCACCGAGTTTCAGACCGTGTGCCACCGGCACTCGGTGATTCTCAGTTATCAAAGAATAAAAAATAAAGAAACTACAGACAGTGCTGCATGTTGCACACCATCAAAAAGATGGGAGGACTAATTATATTTGGCTGACAATTTTTTAACTTGTTTATGGCAATAGTTTTATTTTAGTAACAGCTTCACTGGATGCAAATGTTACATTTTCTACTACAGCAGTTGGGACTATATGTTTATTTATCCATAGCAGTATAACAAATAGCTTTTGATTTCTTCCAGATTCACTTTGTGCTGCTCATTAGCCGGCAGGGAAAAGTGAGGCTAACCAAGTGGTATTCACCATATACACAAAAAGAGAGAACCAAGGTATTCTTCCGGCCTTCTTGAGATAGGATGTCATGAATATCTTTGGGTGTTTGTCTGATTTCCTTAAGGAAAGTATAAGAAATCTGATTGTATGTGTTCCTCAGTCTGCTGATTTTTTAATTGGGATCTTAAATAATATGTTTTCCTCGATATGATTTAGGGACGACAATATGTTGGAGACGCTCACCTCACATTCTTAGTTCATTGTCGCCCTTATTTCATTGGCCTCTCCCTCTCTGTCACTTGTTTGGGTTTATTTTTAGCATTTTTTATTATCTTTATTCTTGATAAGTAAATGCTTTCTTCCTACTTCCTCGAGGAAACGATTTCAGAAGCTGGGTTTACTTCTTATTTCTAAACAAGCTTCAGCCACTCACTGGCAGATACGGGACCTCTCCTTCCCTTCGTGTTGTAAGCTTACTTATACCCTGGATAAATCTGTAAGTTCTTCGAGGAACTCACCTTTCTCCTGAAGAAACTTTGAGAAAAGGTTGGAAGCAATATACATAGAAAAGAGATGGTATTGCATTATGACTCAGACTGGTTTGTCCTTGTCAAAAAGGAAAAGAAAAGAGTAGAGTGAGAGAGACTGGTTGGTTGTCATAGTTGAGAACTCAACTAGTCAATAAAGGATTTCCTTGCAAACTAGGGAGAATTAAATATAAAAAAAGATTAAACTACGAAAAACCAAAAGAATGCTCAAAACCTTCCAAAGAGATAAAGAGCCTGAATTGGGATGTTAAGGTAGACGTAAAAATTACGAAGATTTCATACCCGAAAAGTAAGATAAAGAAATTATAGAAGGTATGATGTAAAGCGTTGCTTTTAATCATTGTTGTTTTTCAGTACTATCTTTTTTTTTCCTTCCCTGGCAAGGTGAATTGGTTACTCTTGCAATTATTTCAGGTCATTAAATTGTAGTAGCGGGATGTGAATAAATTGTTTTATTTTTGATAAGGTAGAGAAGTGAATAATTATTTCGCCTTTTTATTTTCACGAGTTCTCCTTCCTGCAAACACTCTTCTATTTCTTTCCTGTGCATGCCATGTATAGTACTGATCATGCAAAAGTTATTTTCCATTCTTTATTAATAAATACATGTCGATGCAACTTGCTTAAAGGTAATCCGTGAACTAAGTGGTATGATTCTCACCCGAGGACCAAAGCTTTGCAATTTTGTTGAGTGGAGAGGATATAAAGTTGTTTATAAAAGGTAAGGTGATCTAATTTTATTCCCAAGTCACGCTTATGATTGCACTTTAATTAGGCAGAACCTACTTATTGTTTCTCCCTGTAAGAAAAAGTAAATTTAGTTCCAATTTTGGTATGGGCTGTCTATTTTAACAGATATGCAAGCCTGTATTTCTGTATGTGCATAGACCAGGACGACAATGAGTTGGAGGTCCTGGAAATCATACACCATTATGTTGAGATTCTGGACCGATACTTCGGAAGTGTAAGGCTCTCAAACTTTAAGCAACTTCTTTTGATTGAGTTTCTAAATTGCATTTTGATTGGGTAAAGCTACTAAGATGGTACAGTCAGACCTTTCTATAACAACATTCCTATATAATAGCCATTCACTAGAAAAACCAAGTTTTTCTCGGAACCGATTTCTATATTATGTTATAATATATATCCTTTATAACAACATTTCTTTAACAGCCAAAAATATTGGAACAAACAAGGTTGTTATAGAGAAGTTTGACTGTATTACTTCTTATTCTATTTTATATTTATGTTGCTGGCTTTCTTTCCCTTCAGGTCTGTGAGCTGGACTTAATCTTCAATTTTCACAAGGTATGTTCATTGAATTTGTTTACGGATCTCTACAATCTGTGCCTTCTCGGTCTCTCTCCTTCGCCTAAGATTTACTGGTTTCCCTTGTGGGCATTATGACAATTAAGGTGACATTTGTGATCACTTCTCGGGGCTTATATAGATAGATTACTAAAGATATAGAGCTTCCATATATGTGTTAACTCCTATCTTGCCTTCTCTCTTACTACCCGTAGATTTATTTGCTCTTTGTCTCTGCATTTATGCTTGATCTAAGATGGAAAAAAGGGCGCTCAAAACCTCAAATCATCTTATTTTTGGTGTTAACCCGACCCTCGTTTTCTTTTGTTTAAACTGTAGATAGATTACCTTTTCCTAGTCTTAATATTAGTGCTTTGCTAATCGCTCAGAACTTTAATATATGCAAGTATGTAACTGCCCCTTTCATCATCATAAGTTGGGTATTTTCTTTTGAGACTGGTAACTAATTATATTAATGAAAGGCACTAAGGCAGTGCAAAGCCATATGTACAGGGAAAGATTGATCAAGCTTGATCCACCTTAATTACAAAAGATAGGCAGACTTGACAGTGTAGATCCCATTCTTGCAATTGTTCCGGAGTAGGGTGTCCTCATAGTCTTTTAGGCCTTGGAAAACTTCCAAAGTTTTAAAGAAACCAGTAATTCTCCCCATTTCCCAATCATTCAACGCTCTTTGTGTTAGAAATGAAGATCTAAGTTTGGGTATTAGAAATGAAGCGCTATTATATTTGAAAGTCATATCTGATGAAGAATCATATTTTGCTAAAAAGAGCAGATCCTCTGTTTAAGTTAGTTACTAAACTATCCGGGGTCTTAACACGGTTGAGTGGGGGAGGGGATCCATTTGGCAATAATAACTTTGATCGGTGGATTCTGAATAAGTAAATTCTTCAAGAATTGTGAATTTGACATGCCACAAGCAGGAAAAAATAATGCATTCAAGGGTGTGGCCTAGTGGTCAATGAAGGGTGAGAAAAAACACACTTGGTGATTTCATCCCATATGTTTAAGCCTTGATGACATAGTTACCTGGTACATGTTGCTCGTGGGAGGTAGCAAGTAGTAGGTATTCCGTGAAGTTAGGCGAGGTGCGCGCAAACTGGCTGGGGCACTACCATTATCAAAAAAAAAAAAAAAAAAAAAAACAAAGAGGGAAAAAACATTATATAACAATGAAAAGAAATGTATTTTTTTATGAAATAAATTGTTGTATTAAAAGGCATCGAGAGAAATGATTTTGTATAATATACTAGCATACAAAAGTTTGATAGAAATAAAATTGTATTTCGAGGGTTTCTCTGTGAAATCAATTGTGATTGTTACATATCTTTTCTCAAAAAAAGAAATCTATTGTGATTTAAGACTGGAAACTCTATCTTCTTGTAATAATTGAATCTAAGAAAGAGCTATTTATCCAAAGGTTATCAATGTATATATTTCTCCTTTGCCTATTCTTTGGTATCTTTCCAATTCATGATAGTTGTGTAATTCTGCACCACATTGTACTAATTAAACTTGCTGAATGCTTTCGATCTATTTTGGGGAGTAGATTCATTTTGCTTTCTAAATTGATAAAGAACCTTTTCATTGTCATCTCTTCTATCATGTATTAATACACTAAAGTTTACTACTTGCTAGCAATGAATTATGTGCTGTTTGAACTTGAGAATACGGTGTAAACAGTAGCAACTACTTGGCTCTCTATCATTTATATAATGCGTTTTTGTATTAAACAACTTTAGATGGTATAACATAAATTATTTCTAAACCACGTGAATGATTGGCAGGCATACTATATATTGGATGAACTCGTGATTGCTGGTGAACTCCAAGAGTCAAGCAAGAAAACTGTTGCACGTCTAATTGCTGCACAGGTATTCTTCGTTAAATACTTAATGATGCTTTCACAGGTAATGATACGGTATTCTTTACTAATGTTCAAACTGAATCCTGGCAACAACTTGCAGGATTCTTTGGTTGAGGCTGCCAAAGAAGAGGCAAGTTCTATTAGCAACATCATTGCACAGGCCACGAAATGAAAGAACGAGGGCATCACTGTTTTTATGATTCTCATTCATTGCTGTAATCAGATCTTGTTATGACATTGTCAATCCATGTTGCGTTATGCTTCTTATTGAAATTTCTGGTTATTAAAAAGGGTGAATTTCTTTTGTAGTGGTGATTTTTCCTTTCAACAAAGGTTGTTACTGCAGTGATGTACTTTCTTACCTAGAAACTCTTGTATTCATTCTTGTCCAGTTAGCTGATAAATAGCTTTTACCCTTTTCAAGCTTTTCATATTCTGGGAAAGTTTGCTCGAAAGATGGTAACTGAACTAGCAAATTGGTAAACTTGTTTATTCTTTCTTTTTCCTTTTAGTTATTGTTTTTAAATATTTTTGATTTTCTTCTTCAGTTTGTTTCATTGCTGAAGATTGTCCAGCTTTTCTTATTCAAGGATCTTGTTCTCAAAGTTATGGTTTACCAGAGGCTGGGACTCTACAAGTTTCTGGAAATCAATGTTTTATGCAGCTTAGTGTAGAGAAAGTCAGTCCTGAAGATTTAACCCAAATAGCCGCTACCCAACCGTTTTAACTAAAAATAGCTAGCAGGACCATGCATAACATGTGGTATAAACTATGTATATTGGCTAGAAAAAGTAAATAATAAATTTGATAAGTTATCTGTATAAAGATTCCTCTTGGACTTGTTTCCCCTTACTTCGGTTAGATTTTTAAATATTAGCATTAAAAGTGGATTGAAGCTCCATTGTTACCTTTCTTAAAGAAAAAGGGCTGGAGCTCTAGAGTCTAGATCATGATCAAAACTCGCCCAATGTAAGTTGTAAAATTATGAGAAATTTTCAGAAATCACTATTGTTTAGTGGTTATTAATTTGCATAGCTATCATTTACTAAATTACTTTCTATAGCTATGTTTTCACTTGTTATAGAGTGTATTCGATATATTTAAGCTACTGTATTCATGAATACAATAGCAAAACTCGGCGAAAAATAGGGATTCCACCTAACACATAGACTGTATTCATATGTATTCACGAGCTATATTCGCGAATACAGTAACATAAATCTGCGGAAAAAAGGTCCCTTCAGCTGTTTAAAAACGGTAAGTGAATCAATTAACGCGATAGGCACTTAATATAACTCAACAAACTCAATAATAACACGCAAAATTTGTATTTCCAGTTATAGAAAAAAATTTCAGCCGAAAAACAGCACAAAACAAGCAATCTTTAGAGATTCAATCCATCCTTTTATTTTTGGGGTAAATTTCGTGGAATTTCTAGCACGCTGATATTGTTCAAAATTCATACAACTATATACAGAAATAGACTGCAATTCAATTTTACAGATGGCAAGTTTAACTGTTCTACTGCATCATTCTGGCAAGTGGAACAGTGAGAATAACTATGTCGATTATTCGATTGAGGGGATACTGATAAAAGAGTATGCGACGTACAATGATTTGGTTGCATCAATTTCGAAGCAACTTGCCATATATTTTTACCGCGTATTTGACTGAGATGTGTTTGTTATCAACATGATTTGGGCCTATTGCCATATTTTGGGCTACATGCCGACTATTTGAATCCTTCGTGGATTTTTATCACTGTTTCCTCACTATTTTGATATACTACTTGAACTCAGTCCTGTTGATTATACTGCTTTACAAACTCAGCCGCTTTAATTGAACTTTGAGACTTAAATGATATTTCCACTATTGTTTGGGCTGAGCACTACTATTTTATTGATGCTCGAGGGGCTTATGATGTTTCCTGGACTGAGTGAGGCCGAGGGCCATATGTGAGGATATGTTGAGTGATGTGAGGAGGCTTTCAGGCCTTGTGAGTGATGTGAGGAGGCTTTCAGGCCTTGTGAGAGATGTGAGGAGGCTTTCAGGCCTTAAGAGTGATGTGAGAAGGCTTTCAGGCCTTATGTTGATATAGCGCTTGGGCCGTAAGGGGCCCCTCCGGAGTCTGCACACCCACAGTGAGCGCGGGTACCCATATGATCTGAGAGTGAGCCCGAGGGGCTGATATTATGCAGAGTGACTGATACTGAGCCCGAGGGGCTGATACTGTTCTGAGCGATTTATACTGGGCCCGAGGGGCAGATTTCTACTCACTATTTACTTGTTGTTTTACCTGATTTACCTGTTTTTTTTAAAAGGAGATTTCATCTGACTCTTTACTGTTTTACTGCGTTAAGTGATTTACTGCCTGATATAGCATTGTCTTGTGCACTTATGTGTTTTCATGCCTTCGGTTATTATTTATTATTATTACTCACTGGGTCGGAGTACTCACATTACTCCCTGCACCATGTGTGCAGATTCAGGCATAGCAGAGTCCACACCTGAGCGCTGATTCCTTCCAGACCAGGCAGCGATTTGGAGTTACGAGGTAGCTGTTGACGTCCGCAGCCCCTTGTCTCCCCTACCCTCTATCATTTATATTTTCTTCAGACTATTGTACCAGATTTCATACTTTGTAGACTTATAGAAAACTCTGTAGTAGCTCATGACTTGTGACACCCCGGTTTGGCCTGTGTCGGGATGGTTTCCCTTGTTATTATCGCTGTACCGTATTATTGACTATATTAAGCATGTGTTAGAATTGTTAGTGTTAATTAATTGCTTTAAAAGGTGTTTGCGTTGTTCTGGCTGGCCTTGTCTTCACGAGAGTGGCCATCACGATCGGGTTTGGGAATTGGGTCGTGACAAAATGACTTTTTACAAATGACCAAAACTTATATTTCTCTGTTTAATGTAGGTTGTACCGTCGACTAAGCACTTGCATATGGTGAACGATGAAGGAAGGCATTACACCGTTTGCCTCCTAGAGGAAAAGTGCAGTTGTAGGCGGTTCCAAGTTGACGAAGCAAGTTTCTAATGCCGGAAGATTATTGCTCAGACTATTACAAACCAAAGTCTGTTGTAATGACATACAGGGTGATGGTGTATCCACTGCCTGACCGAAGTGAATGGAATATACCAGCACATATATCAGAGGAAGTTGTCTTACCACTCAAATGGAAAAAACCTCCTGGAACGCCAAAGAAGAAGCGCGATAAGCCGTTCAATGAATTGTTTCAGAAGAAAAATCAACATTCGTGTAGAATATGTGGGTAGGGAGGACATAATAAGCGTACTTGTAGAAATGCTCCACGTAGGAATTAGTTCATGTTCTGATTTCAATTGCTGCAATAACCATATGTCATAGATTTTTTCAAGTTTTATATTACATATTGATTTGTTAGTGCTGTTGATTCTTAAGGGATGAATTTTTTAAGTTCTGATTTCTAAAATATTTAATAGTGGTATCTTTACAAGTAGATTTATATACAAATATGAAGTATAACAAGTCATCTATAGTGCAATACACTCAAATACGTAATTCATATACATTTGAATACATATATACATCTGAATACATAGATTATACTATTAAAAAAGTTATGAATACATTCTACAATACATTGAGTACATACTGCTTAATATATATTGCTGGACAAAACATTGAAACAAATTGAAGCTTTGAATATATATAATTACATTGAATACAATTAAATACAATGTAATGTTCAAAAAGTAGAAGTCATTAAAGAAAGTGATTACAGTCAAATACAATGAATACAGCGAGATACATTGCATATAATAAAAATACAGTGAATGCATTAAAAACATAGACAATAATATATACAATGAATAAAGTGCATAAAGTGAATTCATAACTTGTAATACAAATTTACTGCTGAACATATATGCGAATAACATAACTGCTATTAATTAAAAATATATTAGAATACATAAGAATACATAGTAATATGTATTGAATACATACTGCTAAATACATATAGCTGGATAATTCAGTGAAACACATTGAATTTTTAGATAAAGTGAATACATTGATTTTAGGGAACACAGCAGCTAACAACATAACTTAAAAGGCTGTTACGTATTCCTTCATCAACATCTTAAAGACAAAAAAGTCATTCATGTATTCTAAAAGCAAAAAAAGGTTGACCAAAACCATCTTGCGTTCTGTAATAAGATTAAAAATCTATCTTCACATATATTCTTCATAGAAAACTAAATTCAAAAAGCTATCTCCAAAAACTATCTTCACAGAAAACTATCTTCCAAAATCTATCTCCACAAAACTATTCTAAAACTATCTTCACAGAAGTATCCGAATCTTTGATTTGCCTAACAATCTTTATGGGTGCTTCATTCTCGCTTATGGCATCAGCGTCTATCTTTCGTATTGCATAGTCCCAAAATAGGGTACCATATCTTTGATGGAGTTTTTGGTGGAACCAATCCATAAGTGCTCAAATACTCTGCGTATGCCGCGACATGCACCCACAATCCTTGAAAAATGTAGATTGCCACAATTAAATATAATTCATATTGTTAGTGTTATAAATGATACAATAAAAATGATTGAGTTCATACAAGCTCCCATACTTTTATTGAGGCACGTTCGGAATGAAAACAACATTAAAGGGATCAGTTTGTGCCTTGTCATTGTATGCTGGTTCACGAGACCAATCTATGCCTTGCTTATCTCTGTAAAAACCACTGATCGATAGGTGCAGAGGTATAAGCTTAGCAAGCTTATCTATCTCAGAACCCACATAAGCATCATGACCCGCTGATTGGTAAGAGTCATATACGTTGATACATCTCTCCTTAAATGAGACAACTATCCAATGAAGTTTGTCCTTCAAGTTGACTGGTATCAAGACGTTTTCAACCGTATGCCATGGTACATTAGCTAGCAATCTGTAGCCCTTTATGTATTCACATACAACATCTTCTTCATTGGCTCATGCATTACTATCTGTATCATTATACTTGTCGAAGATTTCAGCAATTCTTATCTTGAAAATACAATCAACAGTGGTATATTTGAATGTTGTGGTTTGGTTGTACTTGCCCTTCTTTCTCAGGTAGTAAAATATGACATCAATATGCTGTATATAAGATTGAATATATAGAGTCAGAACATTGAATTAAAAAAAGGAAAACAAACTTCATTGAAGAAACTGAATATATACAGGTATTGTATGTTGAAGAAACTGATTATAGAACACAATACTGCTGAAAACAAATTGAATATACTGTTGAAAACAAATTGCTTGATAAATACATAATGATGAATGAATACCAGTGTTAACAAATTGCTAGATAAAATTTTGAAACACAATGAAGTTGAGATAAAGTGATATCACTGAATATATTGCATACTTTGAAAACAGGTAAGTACACTGAATAC